GCTGAGAGCTCCAAAACGTTGACATGAAGCCCAGATTCAGCCAATGACCAACTCTCAGAAATCTCCTGGGAATCAAGGTATGTAAGCTAACCCATAAGAGAAGCATCGGTAAAAAATCCAGGTTTGGACGAGGAGGTGGAAGAGATAAACCAACCAATATCATTAGTTTTATCCAACCACCAAGCAAGGTCAGTCTGAAGGAAAGAAGGAAGGACAACTGGTTGATCCAATGGATTCAAGCTGAAGTTCCATCAACCATGGAATCCTCACTGGAGGGAACTCATGTGAACATGACAGACAGGTATGAGAGCTTCCAAAGAAGCCCAAATCTCCAAAACAGATAGAACCTCTTGAGCTGGAAGAGAACGAGAAAATAAAGCTTTGTTGACCAACTGCCCCATATCCCGAAGACATAGTGGAGAAGACTGGGCCTGACTGGGGTGGGAATTGAGGAAGACTCCCAAGTTAGCTAGGTACTGTGTATGGGAAAAAATGGACTTCTCCATTTTGATTAACCCTTCCACTCAAGCTGCCACTTCTTGAAGCAAACAAGTGTGATCAGAAAACATCAAACAGGAAAGAACCAGAGTCCCAACAAATGGAGATGTCAAGCAAAGGTCCTTACTACCCAACAAAACACGTAAGGAGCCGAGGCAAAACCAAATGGAAGAGCCCAGAACTGGAAAACACTCCTCATGGATGAACCAAAGAAAATGACATGAGGATGGAGAGATGGGAACATGAAAGTATGCACATGTTATGTTGAACTTACTCATTGAAAGACCTGGAATGAATATCCAACAAAGAGATAGAAATGATTCCATGGTGAAACGTGGAGGATCCAGAAAGTGATTTAAATTGGAGAGGTAGATGATGGGTCTCCAATCTCTAGTTTTTTTGGGGACAATGAAAAGCCAAGAGTAAACATCCAGCTAAATGGGAAACAACAGCTAAACAGCTTCTTTGAGAAGAATGTCTCTTGCTGCCTTGAACAGATGACCGCTTGAAACAGGATCCCTTGGAGGAGGGAAAGGAAATGAAGACAAGGAAAGAGGAGGTGGGAACTGGAAATGAAAAGAAAGACCCTCAGACAGAACTTGTAGAACACACAGATCAGTAGTGAAGGTCTCCTAAATGTCAACAAAATGGTGGAGCCTGGCTCCCACAGGACCTGATCCCATTTTGTAGTCACCTCGACTGCTGTTGACATTCTTGACAGGCATGGAAAAAAATTGAGAATAAAGACAAGAACATTGAGATGCAGGTAAAGGATGAGGCATGGAAGCAGGAGGATAGGAAACATGAATAGGGTCAGGAGCTGTGGAGAAGGAAGACTGTGATAAACAATTAACAAGGGAAAATATGGAAATATGTAACCTGGATAATTTAACACGGGACTCCAAAATATCAGGATGACCCCCAAAAACTGTGTCATGAAAATATGGGGCCATCCTTAAGTCCCTGAGGTAAGATAGTGGAGACAAACTGCTGCAAGCAGTGCATCTTTCCCCAATAACAAAGCAGCCAAATAAGTAGGGAAAGAGCTGATGAAGAGAGCCTCACCAACGTCCACCACAGAAGAGATCTGATGTCTTCCAAAAAATCGTCAGGAGAATGATGAAAGGCCTTGGACAAAACATTCATTGAGGAGAGGTAATGTAAAATGTCAGTAAGTGTAAGTTAAATCCTCAAAAACTGTGCCTGTGAAAATGAAACTGAAGCCTCAGGATTAGAGCCCAAGAGGGGTAACAGTGGAACTAATTGTTGGGAATCCAAATAAGGATTGGAAGAGCAATGAAATGGCAAAGCATGTTGGTCAGAAACTCAATGAGGGGGGGGGGGGATGGGGTTCGAGGCACACTAACTCCCAAACTGATCTGTGATAAATACTGCTGAGCATGAACCTCAGTGTCAGGTAAAGGGGGAAACACCAAATAATCCGAGTTAGGAATGTCACACACAAGAGAAGGAGTGGCATCATAGGAAACAGGAGAAACACTCTAAATGTGACAAACCTGTGTAAACTGGAGGAAAGGAGTAGAAGGACAAACATCCTTCAAGGGTGCATGGCAAAGGAGATAGCAGGAAAAAGGCTGTCTAAATCATCTTCTTCATGAATAATCTCATCAACCTGCAAAGGTATGAACCATCATGAAAAAGAAGGCCCATGCCCCATGTAAGAATCCAAATTCCAATGAATCAAGGCTTGCATCTCCTCAGTAGACAACATCGATATCGAGGCCTGGGTAACAGGAATTTGTGTTTCACCAGTAACTTCAGGAGCCATGGTGGTAGTTACAGTAAATTGCAAATTCATAATAAATTGTGTAAAAATAGTAATGACAGTCAGCAAACACCAAAATGTAAGAAATTGCAAAGCTAAATAATTAAAAATAAATAAATATGAACATAGTCCAAAATATCTGAAAAAAGAAAAGAAAAATAATGAAAACCCAAAGCAAGTGAAAAACATGTCTGACTCGTAATATACCAATCAAGAAAGTGAGGTTCACATAATGTAGTACAGAGGGAGCAGTTGCTCTGGGAGAGTGTGTAGTGCTTTTATTGGTGGAGGGTTGTCTTATGCTCTATGCATGCTAAATGAGCAGCTTGAACTTGTGGGGTGTAAAGGCTAGCTCACCAAGAAGAAAATACCTTTTCAATGTATTAGGGGTGGTGGAAGATCAAGAAAAGCTATTGTGTGAAAGGAAGTATGTATTGTATTGGAATTAAGTGTATACCATATCTGAATGCAACCCATTTCAAAGGCCAACTACCCTGTTAGAAAAATAAAACTATCTTAGCTGAAGGTTACTCCTACCGTGCAAAAATTTATACTTGTGTCCCCTAGTCTTACCATTCTCATCATGAAATATGATAAAAAAATGATGCATCAAAACTATAAATTCCCTTAACAATTTTAAACACTTCAATCAGATTCCATTTAACCCTTCTTTTTTTCAAGGGAAAACAAGTTCAGAGAAATTTAACCCATCTTATTTAACCCAACTATTCTAAAGTGCTTTCTAAAGTAAGGAGCCCAAGACTGAAAACAATTGTGGCCTAAGCAATGACCTATATAATGACATTATAACCTCTTTAAATAGGAATTCAATATTTCTGTAGACACAACTTAAAATCCTATTTGCCCTGCCAATAACAACAACAGCACATTGCTTGGATAGCTTAAGACACTGAGAAACCAGTACACCAGGATCTTTCTCTTCCATAACATTGTTAAGGTTATTCTCATCAAAATTAGTCATAATTTAACTTGTGTTATCTCACATGCATTACTTTACATATATTATAACTAAATGACATCCACCATTTATTTGCCCAAGTAGAATGAAAATAGAATAAAATATCAATAATATGGATTCTCACTTTGTCTTAAGAGTTCCAGTTAGCTTTGGATGAAAACTGAGTTAATTATCTGAATCTATGATATGGATTAAGACACAGTGTCACCAGTTAGACTTGAATGAAAAGCAAAAACTTTGCATGTAAGGCTTGTGGCTGCAATAACCTCTTACAATAATCACCGAGTACCAGAAAAACAAACATTGGAAACATAATAAGTTCCTCTCCTTTCACCTACCTTTTTGAACACATTTGCTGAAAGATGCAAAGTTTTCACTTAACATAAAAGAGAAAAATAATAGTTGGAATACATATAAGTTAGACATTCTTTACTTTGCTGGCTTGTGTATTTTACTAGTTTCTTAACTAATAACAACATTAATATATCAAAAATTAATTGTGTTTAGCAGAATGAAATGAAAAATTAAAAAAATATAAATCTCTAAACCAACTACTAACCTTCAGTTTGTCTTGTCTTAATGTCTTCCCTTTAAAAGAAAGAGCAAACAAATATAACTCTTATTGCATCTTAAAAGGTAAATCATTCCACTTCTACATATAATTTATATATATATATATTTTTCCATTTCTTATTTTACATCTAAATTTGAAAACTATTAACTATTTATATGCCTTAATACTATAATTATAATAGGCACTTTTGCAAATTTTTTTTTCTGTGAAACCAACTAGCTTCACCTTGTTAATCAAACATTAAAACATCAAAATTTAAAAACTATCCACATTTCAAACAAATCTTTAATGTACAATCAAGGGTTTTTAGAAAAAACAAGCATAAAACTTTCAAGGGTGTATTAGACTAGCATTAATATAGTATGTACTAATACTGTGTTACAGAAGTTCTCAAATTCTCTCAACCCATTCAAGAAGTCAGGCAATTTTCCAAGACTCGAGCTCAATTAGGAGAGAAGTGAGTTACTGTTATATTTCAGTAAACTCTAGTGTTTTTTGTTGTATTTGTTCAAAAATATTTTAGGATAGTTACATTATAAATAGTTTTAAAATATATTTATGTTTTACTGTGTCAACACCTCTTATGGATTCCTTTTTTTTTTTAACAGAAGCCAAAAAAAAAAAAAAAGACAAAAAAAAGGGCTGATCTTTTGAAAATCTTGAGCCTATGAATCAATTTTTAGTTTTGCTTGTTTCTTTTCTCGTGAGTTATGGTACTATAGATTGTACCACTACATAAACTTAGTACATTCGTTCACTGATCTGAAAAAGTTTTAGACTTGCAAAGCAACTGATTTAATGTTTTTTTGTAAAGTAATAAAAAGGCTAAACATGTATGTGGGTAATAATAAGACCACAAATGTTTAAAGTCTCAACAACAAAATACATGTTTCAACATACAAGTAAATTAGCAAAATGCAGCCCCCAGTGGCTCAAAAGCAAGTCGAAGAGCTTATGACACTAAACATCAGGCTTATACATATGGTGGGCACAGCATAGATAGCCCATTGTTTAACTTTGCTCTTAACAACAAACAAACAAAAGCAAAGTACAATTTTAATAACTTACATAATCTGTTGTAATTCATTTTCCAATTCTTTTTTAGCTTTCTCCACAGCTAAAAGGTTTTCTGTACAACAAATAATTAAACAAAAGTTTGTTTTACACATAATGTATCAATAAAAGTTATTGTAATTCACAGAAATTGTTGTAATAAAAAAATCATATATTTTCATAATGTAGAAAATAAGATGCAATTTGAATCTAATATTAAAGTCAACTAAACTTGAGTATACTAAATATTTAATTTTTAGCCTACATAAAGATTTTAACTGCATAATAACAGTAATGTGATTTTAATATATCAACCATATCAATTAATCATTCAGCTTTCCATTCAATGTATGCAAATCAAACAAAAGCCTCACAAAAATATTGTAAGAAATTAGTCCTAAAAATTGGTAAGTTTACTTTCAATTCACAACAAAATTAGTATTAAATTTGAACTTGAATTAATGTTTACTATAAATGTTAATCATTTCCTTATTCTGGGAATTGATGAATGGAAAACCAGAGTATAAGCTATATAGAGGTTCACAAAGTTTGAGATTTTAGAGAAAACTGGAATATGTGGAGTGTCGGATGACTAAGTCTTCAAAGAGGATGTTCTGTTTAATAGATGGTCTGAAATAAAAGCTAAACAAAAAGTGAAAATGTTACAAAATTTGAAATCACAGTCAAGCACAGAAATTGACAATATTAATTACAAAATTTATGATCATGAGATTGAGCATTGATTATACATTACCAGCTGCTTGGAAAATCAATACTTTAATAAACAATTCTTGTTATTGCCCTTTTCTTATGATCATTATTTAACAAAACCATCTGATCCTCTGTTGGCTCTTATCTTCAGGAGTTTGTATGCTAAAACTGTACGATTGTTTCTGGTGTAACATTTTAATATTATTTGTGGAGTTTTATTTTCACAAGCTAAAGTTAGAAGAAAGAAAAGAGCTGTCACTGTGAATTTATAGCCTGAAAACATAATATATTTTGGGACAACATGGACCTATTTGTCCATCTAGGTTGTTCCATCCTCAAAACTAAATTAAAATGATTGAAAAAAAAATAATTTAAATCAAGTCCTTTTCATTCATATACTTATCAAGCTTTTCCTTAAACTCACTTAAATTTACTGCCTCTACAACATCTG